AGCCTGGTCTACAGAGTGAGTTCCAGGACAGCCAGGCTTACACAGAGAAACCCTGTCTCGAAAAACAAACAAATAAACAAACAAACAAAAAAATCACAATTCTATTCTATGTCTCCATGCAAAGAAATTTAATATTACATTATTAGCAAAATTTAGTAATGGTTTTGTTTATAATCTTTATTGGGGTGGTAAGGTTTTTAAAGGTAAATCACTAGTCCATTTGAAGCAACACAATTTATTTAAATTTATTGTGACAAAATGACCTTCATTTAATAGGGCCGGGCCTCCCAAAGAAAGATGACTCAGCAAGATTACTCAGCATGTAAAGGTGCTTGCCCCTAGGTGATGCAAGCCTGATAATCCAAGTTTGACACTGAGAATCTACACAGAGGTGGGGGAAAAGAACTGACTCCAATCTCCCTACCTTATATACCATGCATACACATGGTGATAAATAATAATAATGATAATAATACGATCAGATTACTACTAAAAATGAAGCATCTTGAGAAAGATCTAAAAACCAACATCCTTTTGATATGATACATCCTTAGTATTTTTTGTTTTGGGGGGTTTGTTTTGTTCTGTTTGGCCATGCACTGTACTGCCTAGTGACTCCTGTATTTCCTATTGTACTGACTCTAGTTTATAATAAAAAGGATAATTTGGGTATATTTATCTTACATTTCCTAGAACATAGCTAAAAGTAAATTTCAGAATGAGGGAAACTAGAACATGCCCAATCTGTAGGTTAATACTATGTTTCTTAAATGGTGAAAAAGAAACAGGTCCTTGAAGGAAAAAAAAACCTCACTACTACACACTGTATTAGTTTCCAAAATGCTCAATTATTTGCCTCTCTTAATCTTAGGATATGTACTTTCTTCAATGAACAAGTATGACAGTTAAATTATTATTATGTAGAGAGCTAATCTTCTCCAATCTGGGTGTGTGTGCTTAGAAATGATAGTCAAAAATTATATAAATGCATGTTATTTTCATTTGAATACTTCTTGTCTGGCTGCCAAGATTCCTTAGAAATAAAAAAGTAAATTACACAGTGGATCAGCACCACAGCATTTTTACCTAAAAGGACTTTTAAACGTATACATATTTGACAAAAAATTTCATAAAGTTTTGTATGTTGGAATCAGTTGGTTATTTTAGAGAAAAAAGTTTAATCATTAGAAAACTTTATGATAAAAGTATTCTGGGTAGCAAGATATGTAAGGAGTTTTGCCCATTAGAACAAGATGTCAGAAACAAACACAGTAAGACACTAGATTTATAAAGTTTTGTGGAAAACTATCTCTGTTGGACGTAACATGTACTCTCAACCCATTTTAAAGATTAGCTCAAAAATATGTTCTGAAATCTAAGTGTGTTTCAGTATGTGTGTGTGTGTGTGTGTGTGTTTGTGTGTGTGAGAGAGAGAGAGAGAGACAGAGAGAGAGAGAGAGAGAGAGAGAAGAGAGAGAGACAGAGACACAGAGAGAGACAGACAGACAGACAGACAGACAGAGAATTACAACCCAAACCGTTCTTAAACTCATTATGTAGAAAAGATTGGCCTTAAACTCCTCATTTGCCTTTTATCTCTGGCAAATGCTGGGGTTACAGGCCTGCAGTATCATGCTTATCCTACAAGCAAACAAACAAACAAACAAAGACAAAAACACTTAAATACTAGCATGATATTAGTATTATTTATTATTAATTTATACTGAGAACTTCAATTCAAAATTAAATAGACCTTTCAATGCAAGACAAATATGAAGGTTTTTAGCTGAATCCTAAAGAGGGTTGAAATTTATATAAAATGGAGACCTGCATTCTAGAATTGTACTTGGACCAAATCTGCTAAGATAAAGTACACTGTAGCTCCTCCAACCAATTTTCAATCTAGTGTTTTAGCTCTTGTTTAAAAGAATGAGGTTTTTTTTTCCATGATAAAGTTCTCATTGAAATAGTAAAGAAAAAGCTCCAACTTGCTTGGGCAAACTTTTTTATCTGAGCTGCTGGGTGGCTCTCTCTACCCTCCTGCCTTTTGATTCCTATGAGCACTAAAATTTCCCATGAATATTGTTATGTGGTTGGAAGTAACTAAGCAAGTAGAAATAAACCATAGTATATGCTTGTAAGATCAGGGGCTAGCTCTGCCCTTGTTAGAAAAGAAAGAGACAGGTACAGTCAGTCAGTGAGGTCAAAGCAGATTTATTATTCCTCTAGTGTACACCATTCAAAGTTACAGCTTTAAAATAGAAAATAAATACTCTAGGAACTTAAATATTTAAATTCTGTCAGATTAAGAAAGGCTAGAAGTTAGTATTCGGAAAGACAATGTTACACTGTTATTCTGATTATAAGCAAGCTCAAAAGACCATGGTGGGTAATTCTCTAGCATGTGAAAAATGCCTTCCAAGTCTAAATCACATTTTAAAGGTTCTACTTTTTTCTAATTTGAGATTATACATTCTAATTCCTAGTGAGCTTATAAAAAATGTATTATATATATTATATGATTTTGTGTTTCACTGTCTTACACTAAAAGCATTTTTAATATTTACATATTTTGTGTTTAGTTAAACCCAGTTTTGTTGAAGGACAATGGTCTTTAAAATATTATCAATGTCACTTAAAATTACTTCAATCGTGTGAAACAAAGTTTTTGCTTTGTCTCAAAACTTTTGATTACTATAATTACATTTAATTTTGTAAAGAACTACAGATTTATGTCAAGTCTCCATGCAGTGAAACTATTGTTAGAGACAGTTATGATATACCAAGGATAGGAAATAAGATAGTCTGCCAACATGTTAATGTTGTTAAAGACAAGATTTAACACAATGGGCAGGAATAAAAGTATTCCCATGACAAAAAGGTTTAGCATGATCAAGCTATATGCTATTCTTGAAGCTTGACCAAAATAGAAATACTGATCTCATGCCATGGATAATTTTATTAGCAGTATCTGCCACATCAATGCACAGCAGAGCAACGTTCTTTAAATTCATAAGCTCACTATGCAAAGTTAGAACATTCAGAGAGGTGTTAGAATTATATTGAATACACTGCAAGTGTCTTTAAACTTTTTCATAATAATAATGACTATCATTGTAAATTTTAGAAGTAACATAAATTCAATGGTATTTGGCATGACACTCAAGATGGCTCCTTATTCTTAAATTCTGAACCTCTTCCATTAATAAAGTTTGTCTTTAACAATATCAACCTGTTGGCAGCCAAAGTACATGGCTTGAAACTGAAAATGGACCCCCAGACAGAGTTATTAAATTAACAGGCTGGCAAGCCAAGGATGAGTAAGATTCTGCCCAGGGCCTTACCAACCTAAGACAGAAGTGCATTACTTTTGATAATGCATATTCCATGATGGGTAAGGAAGGCATTCTTGTCAGAATGACCTAAGACAGGCTCAGACTTGTTTATAAAATAAAAAGGGGGGAAAGGCAGAGAGCTTTGGGGGCTGTTGGCAAGAATATGACATGGGCCAAGGACAACGAAATGGGTTGCTTGGAAGGAATCTAACATTGGCCAAGAACAAGGAAGTTGGCTGCAGGCAGGAATATGACATTTGGCTAGAATAAAAAAGTAATTTCAGGCAGGAATTTAAATATTAGGCTAGAACAAAGAAGTAATTTCAGACAAGAATATAAATCTTAGGCTAGAACAAAGAAGTAGGCTTCAGACGGGAAAATGACTTTGGGCTAGGACAGGGAACTAGGCTCAGATATTTTGGTCATCCTGATAAGCCCTTAGAAAAAGTGATCACAGGAGTGATCACGGCACTTTGTTTATTGCCTTGCTTGTTCTTTGACTGTTTGTGTTTATTATCTTGCTTGTTCCTTGACTATTTGCATCTATTGTATTGCTAGTTCCTCAACCTAGAGCTGACCTTAATACTTGCATGTAATTAAAATGGTATAAAAGCAAAAAGGAGAGGGGATGGGATGGGAGTTTCTGGTGGGGGGAGACAGGGAAAGGGGATGACATCTGAAATGTAAATAAATAAAATATCCAATTTTTTTTTTTAAAAAAGAAAGAAAAATGAAATGAGACAGCTAAACAGCTAGTCACTTGTGAAGAAGCTATGTTACTGGTCAAATTGATATTGGTGTCTTACAAATATCACTAGCACAATGCTTAAACATATACATTTTGTCATGATCTTTTTCTGTCACTTAATGTTAAATTAACAGTGCCCAGTGGCTAAGGATGTAGAAAAAAATTGAATCTAAAATGTATTTTCTACAAGAGCGTGTTTCTATAAATGGTTAAGTTTACTAGGTGACAGTATGTGTGTGTGGGTGGGTGTGTGCATATGCATGCCTATGTGCATGTGCACACACATGCCATGTTAAGCATGTGGAGTTAGAGAGTAGCTTTTGAGATGTTCTTCTTTTTTTTTTTTCACTGCATGAGTCTTGAGGATACAACTTAGGTTGTAACTAAGTACCTTTACCCACTAAGCTACAGCACTTGCCTCATTTGTATCTATTCTATGATCATCTAACTTAATGTTTCTGGCTATACACAAATTTAAGTGTCTAATTAATGTTATTAAACTGCTGTCCCCTCCATATGCCCTAAAACACTTTTGTCATTCTATAACCTTCCTCTTCCTGTCCAAACTTATAAGCAGCTGGCCTCACTGGGGTGACTACGTATCTCCCATGGAACAGGTAAAACATTGAGCTTTTTAAACAAGCATTTTGCTCAGTTGGAGGGCATTTCCTTGAATTCAGAAGAAATGTAGCTCAGTGGTAGAGCATATTCTCTGCCTATGAGCAACCCTGATGGAATCTGCAATACCATAAAAAATAATAAATAAAAAGAGTATTTCCACTTCTGGACATGGATATTCATTTCACATGATTGAAGTCTCCACAGTCTGAATCTAGACAAGTAGCCTGACATTCTAATCTATCATTCTTTTCTATGTGACCACAAAAAACTGAAAAACAGGATTACAGATCACTCTGTCAATCACCTGATTGTGTCTTTCCTTTCCCAGAAGTTTTTGCCAGATGAAGCTCCTTGTCTTTTTCTGCTTCAGTAGAAAGGGGAGGGGTTGGAGTATGAGACTCAGCAAGGGAAGCTGCTGCTTTTTTCTCAGTTTCCTTTTCTTCTAGTTTCTTTTCAACTTCAGAAGGATGATAAAAACAAACCTTCATTAGGGACTCCAGGTGCGTACTGTTTCATTTCAGCAATAAATACCCAAATTATTATGAAATTATACTTATTAGTAAAATGACTTCTACAAACTTTATTTGTTGTAAAATTACAGCACACATACTTACTATTCCTAACATTCTTCCATATTTTGGGTTCTTCTTTACTCTTTTGCCTCATAGTTATGTTTATGACAATGGTATGAGGTGAGGGTGATGATGATGATATGTTGTGTATGTATGTATTATTATTTATATAATAAGAAAGGATGGGGACTATGTTCAAATGTCAAAGGAAATATAAGAACTGAAAAACAAAAGATTAAATAAAATGATCTAGAACATCAGAGAAGTACATAGAGAAAAGTGAGCAGCCACACATGGCTACAAATGCCTGTAATCTCAGTCCTTAGGAGGCTGAGTCAAGAGAATCACAGGAAGTTGAAAGCCACTCTGTCCTACACAGTGTCTTTCACATCATCCTGATATCTCATGAAATGAAAATAAATAAACAACTAAATGAAAGGCTCAAGCAGTGTGATATAAGATATGGGGTGTCAGGTGTAAATAGTAAAGCTACTGTTAGCCTAACACACTCAAATGGATGACCACACACCTAAGAATGTATAGACAGCTGTTAAATGGATTTAGTGAGGTAAAATAAAAATGTTGCAGATGGTGGTGGCTCATGCCTTTAATTTGAACACTTAGGAGGCAAAGGCAGGGGGATTTTTGAGTTCAAAGCCAGCCTGATCTACAGAGTAAGTTCCAAACAGCCAGGTGTACACAGAGAAACCTTGCCTCAAAACACCAAAAAAAAAAAAAAAAAGAAGAAGAAGGAAGAAGAAGAAGAAGAAGAAGAAGAAGAAGAGAAGAGAAGAGAAAGAAAAAAAGAAATAGAAAAGGAAAAAAGAAAGAAAGAAAAGAAAAATGAAAAGAAGAGAAATACTTGATGGCACAAACTTGGGTTGCTATGAAATGGGGGCTGTATGATAAGATGGAGGAAGAAGATGAATATTATCAAGATACAATGGTTACTGTTAATGACTTAATGTTTGCAAATATATATATATATATATATATATACATATATACATATATATATATATATATATATATCATTACCTTTAATCTTTTTATTTACTGCTTCAGTAGCAAAAATTTCTTTTACTTTTTGGCATAAGAGCCTTTCATCTATTTCAGCATTGACTTTCGTCAAAATGTTTTGTGGCTCTGTAAACCACTCTTCCAACAACGGCCAGTTGTCCAAGAAGCCAACAATTCTGCAAAATAAAGACATTCTATGAATATATGGTGCTCATTTAAATGTTTGAGTAAAGAGACATTAAACATGATATTTAGTAGATTTATTTGACAATTCATGATGAAGAAGTAGCCTAGCAATGGAATTCAGCCCGCAAAATTAACTTTTATGAAATCTATATGTCATAGAAAAAGACTAAATTTAAAGAACTTGTCTGATGGTGTCAAGGTATAAGTTTTAGAATTTTAGAAGTATGAGTGAAAAGGTTTGAGAACGCTAAGCATTTGGCAAACATCTGAGTTATGTTCAAATATCTGAAGTTCAAAGACAATATCATCCACAGAAATGGCAGACTCAGTCTAATGGCTCTTCTAATGCCATAGCCCCAACAATCAGGGCATACTTTTTTTTTCCTTAGAGATACAAAGTGAAGAGGTCTTTGGGTAAGGAGAGACGGTATGGGCTAGTTAGCTTTATTAAAAGTCATTCTTGAATCATTGCTTTTTTTTCTCCTAGAGCATAGACGGCTTCCTATAGCTCAAATTACACTTCCTGCTCATTTATTTTTAGATTTCTTGGGTTTTCATGAAATTGCCTAATTTTGCCTACATTTTCTTTTCCAAAGGTAAGTTACACACAATTCAGAGAAAGCCAAGTAACTTCATTTTGGTAAACTAGAAGAGCTTCTCTAAACTTCTTCAGTCTGTCGTTGAGCTTCTTGAAATTCTATGATCTTCACTGGCATTTTTTTCTAAGTGTTTGCTGAATTCTATGGAAATAACTTATAAACATTTTCTGATTGGCTTGTTTCCCCAGACTCTGACAACAGTGGCTCCACATATAAACACTTTCACAGACTATTTCACTCAATGCAAAAACATATTTTTGATTTACTTGTAAAAGAGTCTGTGGTAGGGGATGAATATCTTTTCTTTTTTTTGTAGATTTTATCATTCCAAAGTCACCAATTGTCACCCCTTTGAAGGGTAACAAATAGGAAAGGCACAAAATTGAAAACATACCTGTGTTGTATGTGGTCTCTTAAGTTCTGGTCCTCACTCTTATCTTGGGTTGTACAAGTTCCAGGACGGCCAACATTTTCATGAGAAATTTCATGTGAGATTTCTTTAACTATGGTACAAAAATTGCTTAATTAGACAATCAACCAAATCAATCAAAGTTGCTACTTACTGCCAAAGCATACTTATACAAGATTCAGGTAGAAATAGCCATATTTTGACCTATAATCACTTCAGTGTTTATATTTGCATATATAATATATAAATGTATATTTACATAGAATATATGATCATGTTCTTTTCATTCCCCACCTCCTCACAGATTCTCCACCACCTCTCTACCTACCCAATTTCTTGTTCTATCTCAAAAACAAAATAAATAAAAACATAGATCAAAATAAACATGTAGTAAGACAAAAACTACCAAAACAAAATGAAAAGGATGCATATACAAAAGTAAACACACACACACACACACACACACACACACACACACACATACAAGCAACAACAACAACAAATGGAGTCCGTTTTGTGTTGACCAACTATTTGTGGGTATGGTGCTTATCATTGAGTATGGTTTGTATACCTAGTGCCACTCCACTGGACAAAACCTGACTTTCCCTATCCAAGCAGTTATCAATTACAAATACCTTATTGGCTAGGGATGAACTTTTGCATTTGCTTCTCTTCCTCCATACTGCAGTTTTGCCTTGCCTTCACTTGTCTAGGCCTATGTCATGCCACCACAGTCTTAATGAGTTCATATGTGTTTCAACTCGGTTCTATCTGGATAATGTTGTTTCCTTGCAGACATCCACCACTTCTTGCCCTAAAATCTTTTTGCTTCCTCTTCCACATAGATCCCGAAGGCTTGAGAGGAGCTGATTGATAACAGTACGCATTTAGAGATAAGAGGTTCAAAGCCTCTAACTCTCTGTCCATTGCTCAGCTGTAAGTCTCTGTTAATTCTCATCTATTGTAAGTAGCAGCTTCTCTTATAAGGATTGAGTGATGCCTTGATCTGTGAGTATAGCAATACATTATTAAGGGTAATTCTGTCACTATGTTCCTTAGAAGCCTTAGTAGTAGGTTTTCCTCTAATGCTATTGACCTATCTAGTCATTGACTCTTGAATATTTAAGAAGTGTCAAGTATGGGTTCCATCTTATGGATTGGGACTTAAATTCAACTTTTGAGAAGTGGTTGGTTACTCCTATAATGTTGTATACTATTACATCAATATATATTGTAGGCAGGTCTTTGTAGGTCATAGAGTTTGGAGCTGGGTGTTACTGATGCTTACTTTTCTCTTTTGGAATTGTGCAAAGTCTCTCCAAGTACCATGACTGATAGTCAGTAGTCATGAAGCTTCTAGTTGGGCAACAGTTCTATTTCCCCATGTGTATATAACTGATATGTTCAGCAATGATGGCTTTACTATCAAGTTATTGATGGTAACCAATATTCTTGGCAATACCATAAGATATTTGAGGCATATTTATGGGTCTGTGTAGTCAATGACTCAACAAGACATAATCCATTCCTCGCTGGAGGTCAATTTTCCTTGGTGGCATAATATGTCTACTTAAAATATTACCACCCCCATTACATGGTGACTCTGTTTAAATTCCTTTAATAATGCATTTATGTATTTTATGAGGCTTCTATAGTAATAGGTTTCCACGGGGGTACCTGGTAAAAAAGAAATATGGGGAGGTAAAACAAACACCCAAGGCAACTTGAAAAGCCACACTTTAATATGTTTTGAAGGAAGTTTAAAGTCAGAAAAGAGGTAACTACTACCGCAACAGTGGAGTTAACTATTTTGGGGTAACCAATTGATTTATAATAGAATCTGAAGCCTGCTCCACAGGATGGAGTCCATAATTGCTTTTGAGTTTTTTTAATTGAATATTTTATTTACATTTCAGATGTTATCCCCTTTCCCCATTCCCCCCCCTGCCAAGGAGCCCCCTATCATATTCCCCTCCTCCTGCTTCTATGTAGATGTGCCCCACTCACCCACTCCCATATCCCCTCAAATCCCCCCACACCGGGCATCCAGCCTTCATGGGACCAAGGTTATCCTCTCCCACCAATGCCCAACAAGGCCATCCTCCCCTACATATACAGCTGGAGCCATGGGTCCCTCAATGTGTGCTCCAAGCCTCGGTGGTTTAGACCCTGGGAGCTCTGGTTGGTTGGTATTGTTGCTCTCCCCATGGAGCTGCAAACCCTTGTATATTTGATCAAAAACTCATCTCATCCCTAGGGAGTTAACAGGTGCTATAGTGGTACTTGCTACTGTTATTTAACTATGTGGTCATGCTGTTAAGCTGCCTTCTAAATATTTATGTTTATACCCATTGCTCTAAGATGCTTTCACACATGGTCAGAGAAGTTCTCTTTGCAATGTTCAGCAGTCAATACTTGTTGTAAATTGCAAGAACAAGCAACTTTAAGTTACCTGTCCTGAGTGGGACATTATCAACTACCACTACACATAAACTAAGGCTAAAGGAACTAAGAGTTAGTGGAAAAAGTAAAAGTGTTGGAGGATGGGGGGTGAATGGTATGAAATCTTGTCTTTAGGATATTATATGAGTACTGAACTCATGAGCAGCTATGATTATCTATACAAGAGCTTCCCAAGATCATGTCAACCAAAATGCTAGTGTAAAAGGAGAAGAAGCTGGCAAGGCCCTAACCCTGGCCATTAGAAGCTGATAGGTTCTGAGAGAATGAGAATCACTCTTCTTTGGGGGCATAGCCACTGGATAGTCCCATAGTCATGCATATGTGACCAGCACTAATTAGGTTTATGGGTTAATAAAATATAAGAAACAGATAAGAAGTTAGGAGGGGAATGTGTTTAGGTAGAACCTGGAGAGAGCAGGGTGGCTACAACACAATTATGTTTTATTGATACACACACACACACACACACACACACACACAAAGGATAAGTTGGAGTTGGTTACACAGGCTATCATTTGGTAAAACACGTATTTTAAGAGTAAATCTGTAACAAAGAACTCATGAAATGTACTGTGCTTTAGAAATCATTCACTCTGTCAGTTCATAAGAGAACTGTTAAGGTGTGACAAGCAATTCAAAACAAAAAGTGAACACCATTATAAGCAACCGGCAATGGAGAGATAGCTACTAACACATGAAAATAAGAGACCGGTCACACCTATAAAGAAATATATTTGCAGTGATCTTTTTGAGAGTGTTGAAATTGTATCTCAGTTGGTGAAAATTTACAAGGCTAGCCACAAACAAATGGAATTTGAATGGCTAACAATTTCCTCTAACTTATGGATTTACAAAATAGTCAAGTCAAAGCTACAGCTTATAACAGAACCAGTTGTCAAAGCATCTAGTAGGAAAATATTTAGGTCTCTATGGGGAAGATACCTAGGAATCTTTCATTCATTTCAAAGCCTTCCACAAACCTCCCTGATATTTATTACATACTACACCAATCCTACACATTTAAACCCAATGTCTTTGAATATCCATGACAACACTGTAGTCTTTTTCATTACATATGGTAGGAAATTGAACTGTAAGTAATGAAATACATTTGGCCTGGGGCCTCTGATTTCTGGGAGGCTAAGGTGAGCACATTATTGAGTCTATGAGTTTAAAACCAGCAGTAAAATGAGATCTTACCTCAGAAAAGCAAAAAAGAAACAGTAGATAATAAAATAAAATTTAGAACACAACAACAAAAACCACAATGAATTAAGTTTCTCAAGTACCTTATAAGGAGAAATTAAAGCTTAAGAATATATACTCTCATTTTGGTAAATATTTAACTTGTAGGATAAAGTATTCCCACTTTGATGATAAGAAAAGTCAAATACATCATGAGTTTTGGCAATAGTATTCAGCTTCATCGTATGAGCAGCTACAGCCACTGTTTCTGGCTTCCTCAGAGTTAATACATAATCCAAGAAAGAATGTTGCCAGATCCTCACGTACAACATAGTAGATGTAGTTTTACCAGCATCATGAAGGTACTAGACAGCTAACAATTGTTTCTCTGTGTGTATAAGTTTCCGAGGAAACTGACACGGAGAGCTGTCAATTTGCTGGGAAAGGCCAGTGAAATGCTTTGAGTTGACTCAGAATTCTTTCTCCCTTAGTTCCAGGTTTGGCTAATAGTACGTACTGATAGTAAAATAAGAGACTTGGCTGGATAAGGCTTTGAAAAACATAGATTAAATGAAACTATTTACTTAGTCAAAGAACATTTTTCATATAATATATTTATTTGACCATGAGTTTTCCTCCTCCCAATCCTCCCAGATTCTTTCTACCTCCCTACACAGCCAGCTTCATGTTCTCTTGCTCTTCAAAAAACAAAAACAGGAAAACAAAATGGAGTAAAAAAACCCACAGGTTTTAAAAGCATGTTTAATTATGGAAAAGAGCATAACATTAAAAAAAATCAATGCATTCTGCTTACCTATGATATCATTAAAGCGAGCCAGCGACGAGTTATCTGAAATATCTAGTAATATGACAAAATCAAATGCAGATGGGAATAAAGTGACCTCTTTGGAAGTTGTGGGGCCCAAGGCCAATGTGGGCATTTGTGCTTTCTTCTTCTTCAACTGTAGGGATTTTCTTTTGTATCCTGTAAGTGCTTCCTCCAGGAGCTTGGCTTGATTTAATGTCATTGGAAATCCATCAAGAACCCAGCTTTGGTTCACAGGTATCTCCCTAAATTCAAACGGCACAATTCATTAGCATGCTGATAGACACTGTGGCTCTACAAAAGTCAGTGATCACAATGAATACCTTTACTTTATGGCAAATTCATCCTAATGTATGGATTTCACTATTTCATAGCTAAGGTATGAGGTTTCCTTATGTGTTCTTACGGCTTCTTTGCTTAAAATCCTTTTGTGGGTATCTGCTGTCCTCCAAATCTATCCTCTTAACTTGTAGACTTCTCACCTTTTACAATTTTAAATGCTTACAGACAGATATCCTCACCACAACGGTTGTGCATATATGTGCCATTGTCTATACTCATAGGCTGCACTTCCACAAAGTCCTCATCCATACAATGGAGTACTATACCTCATTGGGGTTTGCAAAGAGGAACAGAAATGACACATTCAGTAAATCGGACACAGGTCTTAGACCATACCAAACATTCTCGCCACCAGTTTGGTGGGTGTGTTCACCCCCCCCACTCCTTAACCTCTTACCTAGTTCACCATATCAATAAAATAGCCTTGAATTAAAGCTTTCAGGTTATCCCTTTTGGTTTTCTTTTCTTTTTTGTTTTGTTTTTCGAGACAGAGTTTCTCGGTGTAAAAAGCTTGGCTGTACTGGAACTCACTCTATAGGCTGATCTCAAAATCACAGACATCCACCTCTCTCTGCCTCCTGGGTGCTTGGATCAAAGGCATGGGGAATAATCAAAAGGGCTTAAGTATCTTTGTTCTACCTTCAAACTTTGCCAAATTGAAATTTTTCCTTATATTTTATAGGTATTAATTTACTTATTGATATGTTACCTCTCATATTAAAGAATAGTTTCACCTTTCCAGAAGTTTCTAAGTCTTTTGGTGACTACCTGAAATCCTTTCGATTGTGTGGCAGGAAGGATGGGGGGAACAAATTTGAGAACGATTTCAATTCTTGATGAAAACATAGAATTTCAAATGGCTTTCTGTCGAATGATTCTCAGCATGGCTCCTAGCTTCCTTCTGGCATCTGTCTTTATCTCCCCCAGTGGGTTATCATGAGCAGGAAGAGACTGCATTTCACTTTTCTGACTTCTCCAAAAAGAGATCAACCTTCTGCATAGATTGGACTTACTAATTCATTTGCCCAAGTCACAGGAGAGAATTCCCTTAAGTGCTTGACCTCTTCTGGGACCTGCTGCCTCAGAAGCCATGGCAGACAGAGACAGAGGTTAGTATCTCCCTTCTTCAATGCTAGAGTTAGCCAGCAGACAGCGGGGAGCCAAGGACCCTGACTCTGGCGTTTGTTGCATCACTACCCAGAAACAGCTATGTAACTACAACATCTAATGCTCCTTTTCTCGTTAGACTAGACCAAAACATTGTAAACCAGTGACAGTCCTCTGGAGGTGTCTTAGAGGAAACGGAAATGGTGTTTAGTGTGAGGAGGGTGATTGTGTGGACCCTCCAGATCTACTAAACCGAAGTGAAGGACTGCTTTGCATATCCATTTGCTTGATGAACAAAGAGCGCTGTGGTAAAGTGTACTTTATGTCATTTCCGAGAAATGTGAGGCTAGAAACCCTTACAGCTCTGAGGGTAGCAGCCTTGAGTTTCAATTACTAGATACATAAGTGAGAAGCAGCTTAAATCTTTAAAGCAGTCTTTAAGACAACATTAAGGAGGAGCTTATCTCAGATGGATAGTAAAAAAAAAAATCTACAAACTCTCCCTCCTCTTGGGTCTTAATGTTCCTCATATACCAAAGCTAAGCAATTCCATTTTCTCTCAGAATCTTTCACCAGAGCCTTTTACTCTTTTTTTCCATCCTGTCAAGAATATTTCCTTTATTATCTAGAATAACTGGCCTCTTATAATATACAATCATAAGAGAGCAAAGTTGAGGAGAATCCTTTCTCAGTAAAAAGGAGGACAGAGAAAGTACAGAATGACAGGTTTTTTGAACTTTTCCTCTTTGTCCTCAGTCAATATACCCTCCCCATGTTACACATATGTGCTTTGTCTACACCGTGTACCACTGCCTGTTGACCTAGGATTCCTGGACTCAATTCCTGCCCTCTTCCTGAATCATAACACAAGCAAGTGCAACAGTTAAAAATCTCTTTTTTCACACCTTGCCCTTCAGCTTACTTAATCACCCAGTACCCCCAAAGCAGTAGAAGCTGACACTCATTTACATCATGTGAAAGTCAAGGCTAATCAGAGAAAAGTGAAGCATAGGCATGCAAATCTATCTACCCTCTCACTATCTTAGGATTCGGTAGATATATTTATATATAATATATATTGGATATTTCATTTCTATGTTATTCTTCCCATATCTTTTTTTAGGTAAATAATACATGAAATAGGAGAGGGAGATGGCTCAGGAGTTAAAGTGCTTGCTTTACAAGCATGCGGAATGAAGTTCCGATTCTTAGAACACCTGTAAATGCTGACTGGGTGTGGGGCCCAACTGTAATTCTATCCTTGGAGGTTGGAGACAAGATTCCCAAGTGAATTGGCTAGGAAGACTAGCGTGTATGTTCGCCAGGGTTTTCCTGAGAGACTCTGACTCAATGGATAAGAAAAAAAGATGAGACAATTCCAGATGTCAAACTTAGGCCTCTGTACTCTCAGACACATGTGGTCATATGCAAGTACACCAATACATGCAGGAAAAAAAAAGAATATATTAAATTGGTACGAGAAAAGCAACTGCAATACATACTTAATAGCATTTACCAGGATGTTAACCAGCAGTATGTCTGGAATGCTCTTTCCTCTTCTAAGCATCATTTCTGATTTTGCACCAAGTTGCGCTCGCACGCTGAGCTGTGAAAAGAAATGAAGAATGGTAGGAGGGAGCTGATTGAAAAGTAATATTCCATTCAAGGTGTTCAGAGTTAAAACAATGTAGTGGCCATGCCGTCTAATGAAGATACTGAGGGCTTACTGCATTTCTGGAGTCAGGGAAACATTCAAGAAGGATCTGTAACAATTTTCAGCAGCCTCAGCACCCCAAATTTCCCGAATTTCCTATTCCAACACTTGCAAAGAGAATAATCCAGCTCTGATCACTCATGTCTGTGAGAGATTGTCCTCTGGGAACACACATACCCATGGAGCCCTTGAACATCGCTTGATGATCAGACTCCAGACTTTCAGCTCTGTTCTTCCTTGATTCTTGGCCTTTCTTTTTCTACCACAACTTCACTCTAGGAATTAGCTTTTTTGTTTTGTCCAGAATTTAATAATTATGACTTCTAGGAGAGTTAATTTTGTACAAGTTGTGTGATGTCACTGAATGTGGGCTCCTCCAGACCCTGATCTTCATTCAGTCACTGGAGTATTTTATGTCAAATGAGATTCTCAAACTCTGCTAAAACTATTCAACCCAAGTAGAGTACAGCAGCATACTCTTATGACAAATGTTACAATAATTGCTTCTTAGGCACTGATATACTTTTTTCATCATCTCTTTGATCTCAGCCTTTGTTTATAAATATAGAGTCCCACCCTGTAACTGTGTACCTCGTCATCTTGCCAGAGAGGCTTCCTAGATCCTGTTAACTAATCCTCTTACCTCTTTCAGTGTACTTAAGTCCTGCTTTCTCTAGAAGGTCTACCTTAATTTAATATCAGAATACTCATTTCTCTACTCAAAATACTGCTCTTACTCTACTTTTCAATTTTTCTGAACCTGATTATCTTTTACTATGCTGTTCAATTCATCTGTTAGTGTTTATGTCCAATTACCTGCCCGTGTTTCTAAGAATGCAGACTCCATAAGAGCAGGGAAGTCCATCAGTGTGGTTGTTGACATGCCCACATTATATGGTGTATAAGGAAAAGGGTGTGCTTCTCAACTAAACTGAATATGGGTGAGGAGGCTTTCACCGAACTCCAAATGTAACTACATAAGCAAAACTAACTCTTCAGTAAATTCATACTTCAGATGACTAGAGTAAAAGTTCTACCCCTCTACTTACTGCTTTTCTAAACTCACTTCTCTCTCAATAACTCATCCATCATGTGCATTGCTTGATTGCAAGCCCAAAATGTTTGTATATTTAATCAGTTCTAAAAGCTGGATGATAAACTTGTTTGGAATGATGACATTCATTATAAAATAATCAATTATAATAAAAAAGTAAATGAAACACACATGATTAATTCTGTCATTACTTCTCTCTATATTTAACCAATGCTGTTTTTGAAAGTCCTAGGCTCCTTTAGAAATAATATCAAGTAAATTAAAAAAAATCATATGTATACCTTTCTAAACTAGTAAAATGGCATAGTAACTTCTACTGTTTTAGATAGAAAAATATTAAGAATATAAACAATAGTATGGATTCTTTACTAAATGCTCTTTTATTAAGCATAATTTGGATTCAAATAGAAGAACACTGTTCAGTTTGTAACATTTGAATACATATTAAAAGAATACAAATTAAGATACCTTTAAATATATGAGTAGACAAAATTAGATTATAATACTTACTGATAAGAAGTTATCACTTGGTCTGAATTGTTCAAATTCATTAACCTTGACACCTAGTAACAGGAAAGTAGTAATATCAGAGTCCCAGCATTCACATCTACATGTGCATTGCTTGTGCTACATACCAATGCTTGGCCCTCTCTACCTGGGGAATAAGGGCATTTTGCTCAGTCATCTGTGATATATTCAGCAAGAATACAAAGCAAGCATTGCAGCATGACTTGCTACTTCTAGTTCATAGTATCTCAGTTCCCTCTTTGGTAAACAAACCAACTTTCTCAAAAAACATCAAAATGTTAATTCACTGCATTTATATTTTTTCTGGATTGTGAAGTTAATAAATGATAAACATTTTGGAAATACTTAGAAATCAGAATGGGCTCTTAGTTAAATTCTGTGGAAAATGTTTGCAGAATATATTTATAATGAGAAGATACTAATATTCAAATAACTAAAAGGATGTATTAAGATACAACATAGCTGGAAAAATGAACAGAGGGTGACTTTCAAAAGAAATAGAAAAGCCACCAACGAAGAGTTACACAGTTACTGCAAATCTGTGACTGATTCTATGGTGACAGAGGAGAGCAGTGACCAGACAGAGGGGTCTGAGCTTTGGAACAGAATGGGAGCAAATTGAAAGATGCGAAAAGATTCATTAACATGCATAAAATGCCATTTAGTAGTTAAAATGTTTCTCTTCAGTGATTCGACAAATAATCTGAAGGACTTAGCCCAGATTCCAAGCAGGAATCTTATAGTGGGTGTTAGGAAGCTCAGCTCTGTTGCTGTTGTCAATAACTAAGAGCCAGAACAGTTTAATGAATAGGGAACTAATGTCCTGCTGAGTGGAGGAAGGCAGATTCAGATGCTTTCATCTACTCACAGAGCTCTGACATTACTCTCTCACTTATACACACTTATATAGGTAAAAAGGAAAAAGCAAAGCACCAAAAGCAAACAGCCAAACAGAAAGAGAAACAAAACAAAGCAAAAAAAGGAATGAGTGAGTATACTATGTCCTGCTTGCTTTTATAAAGGTAAACTTTAAATAATTTAAGGAAGAGGGTGAAAATTCTTACTGTAATTTCACCTTTAACCTCAAGTCTCACGTGTAGGCAATGACTACCTTGCACAGTGTCAATAACCACACAGATAAGTAGTTAATTCTCCACCTTTCGCCATTGCAATCATCTTTGATGAACATATATGCACTCTTACTGTTTCTGTATTGTAGCTATGTTGCAATATAAATGATGGATGACTCCTTTTGACACATTACTTACTGGCTATATAGTTTTACCTTCTTTTTGGGGTGTTGCTTCCCCTGGACCTGGACTAACTGGTAAAACAGTTTTATCCTATGGTAAAACAGACAAACAAATAAACAGGTTTAATATTATCCTTCTTCAATTACATTTCCATAAGTTAGTGTCCAAATGTGAGATTTAATAACAATTAGGCATCTACAAGCCTTCCGGCCTTGAGAAAACTAATCCACATGTAGGGTCTCTACTACTGTCTCCAGAAAACAAGAGAGCTGAACCACATAAGGGTTCTTAAAGTCACATAATATTCTTCTCCCGCCCCCAGCATGTAGTATTATATATTTATGAAATAATCAAACAAATTGCAATGTGAATGTTAAAGAATGAAAATGTGACCAATATAAGCCACTTGGAGTGCTCAGCCAAGATGCATCATCAGTTGGTATACTAGCTGTGAACTAAATTGATCCAGGTAACTGTTTTCATATGGTTCCTGGATATCTTTCAAGCAGTTTCATACTGTGAGCCTGGAGTCCAAGGAACGTGTCCTCTTCTATCTTTAAATCTGTGGGGGCCCAGCACCTCTCTAGTCTACTGCAAAGGGCCAGCTGGAGTCTCTAACCACATGTTTGGAAGCCTACTATTCTCCACTTCCTGATACTTAGTGGTGGAATGTGTCTAGTCAGTCACTAAACTTAGTACAAGTGTAGGCCAGTCTCCTAATAACACACACACACACACACACACACACACACACACACACACACATACACCAACCTTCTATCAATCCCATTCTCCTGGCAGGTCTTGCCTCTGTGGAATGTCTTCATTCTATGGCTACAGTAATGGCTACAGTATTCAAAATAAGCTCACAGCTCTGGATAGTTCACCCAGGAAAACAATTTATGGGTAGAGTTAGGAGAAACATGCTCTCTTTTTTGTCTCTTGGTCTATAGAACCTAAACTATTGACTCTTTGGACCTTTATTAGATGAACTTTGGTATTCTATCCTGGTCCATATCTATAGTGAACCAGCTACAGAAAACTGAAGTCATACTTGCCTTGCTCATTTCCACTATAGAATCTCCTTTAACATATTTGCGAGTTGGTGATGTCTTACTGTCTTTTTCTCCATCGCTGAATGCATGGATAGCCTCTTGGACAAGAGTATCAATAGAAAGCACACGAATAGGGAATTCTACAGTACAAAAGACAACCTGTAAATATCTTGGTCTCCTGGGAATTGATACCGTTGTCTCTATGTTCCACATTAACCCTGTAATACTACTCTCCATAGAGTTGCCCCTTGCATTAAGCTACTTACTTTTTTGTAATAAAATTCACATTACATGAAACAAATCATTTTAGCTTGTTTAAAGGGTACAGTTCATCGATGCTAAGAAATCCACTAAGCCAAGTAACCATCATGATAACCCTCTTCAGGAATGCTGCATTATCTCAAAAGTAAATCCCCACCTATTACAGGAGTACTCCTATCCCCTACCCATTGTCCCAGGAAACATATAGCATTTTCTATCTGTACAGATTTGTCTATTCTGAGATATTTTGCATAAGTTAGATGACGCACTATATCACCTTCTGCATCTTGTTTCTATTACTTAGCATAATTTTGACGAGACTGAACACATCTCAGTCCCTCCCTCTTTTCTGTATTTAGAAAATCAGTTACATGATTCTACTACCACAAAATCTGATGAAAGATATTCTCTAAATAAAGCCTCTGGTTTGACTCTTATGGAGATAGACATTTGGAGCCATGGTCAGAATAAATAGCGTCTAATAAGTTAAAGAGAAATAAAGGCAACTTACCATTTTGTAGACACTTTAGAACAGTAGTTTTTCCACTGAGTGTCTTCCCCAGTATACAACCCTTCACAGCAAATGAAGGTAATTCAGTGTCTGCAGAATTATCCTCAGATGGAACAGATTTTTCAATTAATCTCAGAAGCACATGACCCAATATGTTATTGTTGGAAGGTGGTGAGCTATTAACCATATCCTCGGGTAAGGCCCACTCTCCAACCATGTTCTGCAAAAATAACAGCCAAACAAAAGAAAATAAAAAATGTCTTTGAAAAGCAGAATTAAAGCATAAAGGAAAATTAAATACTAAACAAGAGGCAGTCAGAGGAGCTGTGGGAGTGGAGGGAGGGAAAGCTGTAATTGGGATCTCTTATATTTATTTTCAGTAGAAGTACAAAAGAGGTGAATCCAGGTTGTAGCAAATAGAATGTAACTAGTATTGTAATTAATTATAGTGCAGAAAACCACTAACAACAATACTACCTTTATATTATAGAATACTAGGTAAAATTCTTACATAAAACATTAGAAAATTTTAAAAAGACTAGTTTTAGAATTAGGTATTTTGAGAAACTGAAAAAATCTATTTTATATTATGGCATTTAAGTTAACTTAAAACACCTTTATTGAAATTAACACAGAAGGTACCGAAGTTTAATATTAAAATAAGACTGAAAGTAATTTTAAAATAAACTTAAATAAAATAAAATTACAAGAAACTAAAAAGGAGTAAATTATAAACAAAAATAGAAATTAATTTAAAAAGCAAATCTATGAGGTAATATTTGTAAGTAAATCTCTTGAACATGAGTTATGGAAGTCAACTTGCTAATGGCTTTGAACAAAAGTGAAAATTTGTCCATGTAATAATTCAATGGAAGGATAGTAGCATCATACTTGTAAGTGGCTTGAATATTATTAATTACTATGTATAATAAAATTGAAATTAAAGTTAGAGAAGCCAGTAATGATTTAGAAGATATATTTTATTTTATTAAATTATTTTATTTATTTACATTCCAAATGTTGCCCCCTCCTCTCAGTCCTCCCTGCCCTAAGTTCTTCACCACATCCTCTTCCCCTTTGCTGCTGAGAGGGTTCTCTCTCCCCCACCCACTCACCCCTTACCTACCTCCCAGCATCCCCCTGAGGCATCAAGTTTCTACAGGATTAGGCACATCCTCTCCCACTGAGGCCAGACAAGACAGTCCTCTGCTACATACATGCCGGGGGCCACAAACCAGCCCATATATGCTCTTTGGTTGGTGGCTTAGTCTCTGGAAGCTCTGAGGGGTCTGTGTTGGTTGACACTGTTGTTCTTCCTATCTAGTTGCAATCCCCTTCAGCTCCGTCAGTCTTTCCCCTAACTCTAACATAGGAGTCCCCAACCTCAGTCTAAAGATTGGCCATAAAAACCTGCATCTGTCTCAGTCAGCTGCTGGTAGAGCCTCTTAGAGGACAGCCAAGCTAGGCTCCTGTCTCCAAGCACAACATGGCATCAGTAATCATGTCAGGGTTTGGAGCCTGTGCATGAGATGGATCCCAAGTTGGGGCAGTCACTGGATGGCCTTGCCTTCAGCCTCTGCTCCATTTTTGTCCTTTCATTTCCTTTAAAAGGGAACAATTCTGGGTCAAGAATTTTGAAGACGGGTGGGAGGCCCCATGCCTCAACTGGGAGCCATATCTATCTACTGGAGGTGTTCTCTTCAGGTTCTGTCTGTTGGACATTTCAGCTAAGGTCACTCCCATTGAGTCCTGGGAACCTCTCATGTCCCAGTTCTCTGGGACTTTCTAGAAGTTTTCTCCACTCCCACCCCCATCTGCACCCCCACTGGTACTTATTTCCATTTATTCTCCTGGCCCTCTGCCCTTCTTTTCTGTCTCCCCCTATACCTAATCTTGTCCCACGTTACTCTCCCCCTCTCATCTTTTGCCCAGGTCCCTTCCTCCTTCTGTCTCCCATGATTATTTTCTTCCCCACACTTGGGCCTTCCATCCACGGGGAAGGAAGTTGGGTAGGGGTTCTGAGTTGTATCATGGGTATTCTGTACTTTTTTGCTAATATCCACTTATCAGTGAGTACAGACCATGAATGCCCTTTTGGGTCTGGGTTACCTCACCCAGGATGATATTTTCTATTTCCATCCATTTGCCTGCAAAATTCATGATGTCTTTTTTTATATATTTTTATTAGTTATGTTATTTATTTACATTTCAAATGTTATCCACCTTCCAAGTTTCCCCTCCACAAATCTCCTACCTTCTCTCCCACCACCTGCCTCTATGAGGGTGCTACCTACCCACTCGCTCTTGCCTCAGCACTCTAGCATTCCTGTATGCTGGGTCATCAAGCCTCCACAGGACCAAGGGACTCCCCTCTCATTGATGCCAGATAAGGCAATCCTCTGCTACATATCAAGCTGGAGTCATGGGTCCTCTGATGTGTACTCTGTGGTTGTTGGTGATATCCTTCTTTTTCATAGCTGAATAGTATTCCATTGAACTACATTTTCTGTATCTGTTCAGTTGAGGGACATCTGGGTTGTTTCCAGCTTCTGGCTATTACAAATAAGGCTGCTATAAACATAGTGGAGCATGTGTCCTTGTGATACAGTGGAGCATCTTTTGGGTATATGACCAGGAGTGGTATAATGTGTTCAGGTCGAACTATTTCCAATTTCTCCATTCCTCTAAACCCTTTCTTAGCATTTTTAAATAAGAAAAACTGTATTGTCCATTTATTGCTTTATCCTACTTAGGCTAATTAACAATACCCCTAGAACTTTATGTCATGAATAAACAAACATTTTCCATGTTCCTGACTCTCCTTTTAACAGTACTTTTAGTAGACCATGTCTGACAAGAAAACAAGTTGTCATGTTTGATAAGTGCTCTGGGTCAAGTTCTTAGTTTGGTGCTATAATTCCTCATATGACAATACTTACAAATACAATAAAGAAATCTTTGAAATGAACAAGATTCATCTTTGAATCAAAATATTCCTTAGGATTTTCTTGAAAAATTCAAAGAAGTAAGTCTATCATTAAAATTTTTTCAATCTTAGATAAGAAACATTTTACTTTTAAAAGTATTTTCTTTTAGGACGGGGGATATAGCTCAAAAATAGAGCACTCATTTGCCTAGCATGTGTGAGGTCCTAAATTCAATTCCAAGCAACATAAAGAATGAAGTAAAAAGAATGGTTTTATCTTAATTTAATAGCTTTGCTTTTGCTAGTCTTGTGCATAACTGTCTGCACTGCTGAGATTGAAGTCGTGTACAACTGTGAGTATTTTGCAGCCTGAATGATTACCTGCTTCTACTTTCAGTCACTGGACTTGCCTATTCTTACATGTAGAGAAATGATAATGATTTTGGGTAAAGTGGCCAATCTGCAAGTACCCGAATCAAAATCAAACCAAACCAAAACAAACAAACAAAAAAAGAACAAAGCCTTTACATTTTCTGTTGGTGTGATAGGTGCCAAGATTCTGATGCTTCCTGAGCTGTGCAGTCCTTCAATCTGCTCTAAAGCAAAGAGTATCACATATAAATTTAATATCTCAGGTTCCTATAATGATTTGGCTTTTTCGCTTGCTCTGTATCTTTGTCAATACTCTACCTTGAAGCACAATTTAATCTTTATAAAATTGTTGTGACATGTGTATTAGAGGACTGCCTTGTCTGGCCTCAGTGGGAGAGGATTCAACTAATCCTATAGAGACTTGACGTCCCACAGTGGGGGGATACCTGGTGAGAGGGACCTTCTTATCAGTAAAGAGTAAGTGGGATGGGGGAAGAACTCTGTGAAGGGTGACCAGAAGGGGAGCAACATTTGGGATCTAAATAAATAAAATAATTAATTAATAAAAACAGTAGAAAAAACTACTATTAAAGTAATACTGTGTGCAACATAATGTGACCACTAACAACAAACATTTAAGGAGCTACCAGGTACTGCTCTAGGCATTTAACAGCACCACACACCTATAAAGACAAACAACCATTAGCTTTGCCTCAGTCGAAAAGTATGCTTCCTCACACTGGGGTCAGAACAAAGCCCTTCTGTATCAAAGAGTTAGTTACAGATTATGGCCAAGCACAATGGAATAGAACATTGACTGTGAAGAGAACAGAATGTTCTGGCTGGGATAAGAACTGAACTCTGGCCTACGGAGATAAGCAGGCAACAACTGGGAGGAGCCCTCTGGACAGGACCGCAGGAGAAGGACAGCTTCTTACAAAGACCAAGAAAAGCGGAACAGGGACACAATGAGTGGAAAGGAGATCAAAAAAAAAAAAAAAACTGAAAAGGAAAATTGTGACTAAAGATGAAAACTTTAATTGCAAGTGACCCAAAGAGCTAAGGAAGAAACAGAATATTTTAGCATGTTTTTACATGTTTGTTGTTTATGTAGATATGATAAAAACAATTATGCCATTAGGTATACAATTTACACCCTCAGACATCATTATAAATAAATACATTGGGCTATAGGTCTCAAGATGCTAATGCCTGCGATGGGAAGACTAGGTGAGTATCACTTGATACAAACCATTGTTTTAACAGGGGGTGGGTGTGGGCTACATTATTACATTTGACTTATGTAAACTATCAAACACGTACTGTGATTACTTAAGATGTCTTTAATTGATCATCAGATATTTTGTGGTGTTTACATAAATGGAATAAGTATTTTTGAGTTGTATGTACAGAAATTAAGGGCCATCTCTTCCTGTCAATTCATGTCTACTCAGAAACAGAGATCCTAAAATTGTCGCAGAGTAAATGATGGCTTCTCTTGGCAAAAAGACATTAACTAGTTCACTAACATAGTTTTTATTAATTGACCTCACTAACAGAGTAAATAATGAAAAGACACTAACTAGTTTACTAGTATAGCTTTTATTAATTGACCTACACTAATCTTCCAGGCTCTGAATCTCTGGGGCCAGACTATACACATACTACTCTGAATACATAGCTCTACCTCTTAGCTTCCCATCCAGGACTCAAAAGCTCATGTGCCTCTTTGCATTTTATTATAGAACTTAAAATGATTTACCTAGACTTTTCTTTCTAGCCGTTTTCCATCAGCCAGAACCTTTAGACTTCCCATTGGCTGGTGTTTTAAAATTCTTGGGCTTTTATGAGTCATTGTGAGCATTTACAAATAGCATTTACTTCATGGACTGAGGTTCATACTTCAAGATGTAGAAATTGAT